GATCGAATGGAACATATAATGAACAGACTAATTAAGCCCAACCCGGCCCGTGCTCGACCTACCCCTGCATCATTCTCACTTTTGCCTACTCCGCCTGCACCTGGACATGCATCACAATACCCTCCTATAGCTAACCCGACAGGGAAGATCGAGTGCTACAACTGCAAACAGCCCGGGCATTTTGTGACTGTCCGCAGCCAAAATGAAATCAGCCCCCACCTGCCGCGGCCCCCGTAGCTCTGAATCAAGGACGAGTAGCCACACTAATGGATACGGCCCGAAACGAGGAGATCATTCTGTACGCTCCTGAGCAACCCTCCCCTTCACTAGTTGTTGCATCGACCTCGGGAACTTCTTATTCCGAAGTTGCTGACGTGGTTGATCCGATCGAATATCTTCATCTCGCCGGCATGATCGGAGCAATCCGGCCAGCCCAGGACGATCTTGAATGGGTCGAACGCAGATCTAACCCCGAACCACAGTTTCGGACGGGAGAAATCGATGTACTACGAACGCTCAAGCAACTAGACATTCGCGTTCTGGTCCCGGTAGGATACTTGCTCACCATATCTGAAGCAGCAAATGACAACCTGTTGCAACAGTGTCGGAAGAATCAAAAGCGCTTCACCTACCAGCACATACAGCGAATGTTGAAAAAGAAAAAAAAAAAGAGCGGAGGGTGTTCCACCGCCTGAATCCGAAGTTGGTGAACCCGAAGCAGCGCGAGTAGCTGGAATTTCTTTAGCTGAGAAATATCACTTCGTGCGAGCTCAACCGGTGTTGTGGAAAAGTGCTGAATGTGATTGCGAAATATGGGGCAAACCTTTTAACGCTCTCATTGATACCGGCTCCTCTGCGGTCGCTATAGCATTAGACATGGTAAAATGAACGGGACGACTCAACTCCATTCTCCCTCAATCTAGCAAGGACCATTACGTCTTTGCCGACGAGGAAGGGAGTCATCGAGAATGTTGTCATGAAAGTAAGACGAGTACACGTCCTCGTTAATGCTCTAGTTATAGACATGCACTCAAATTTGGTGTTGTTGGGACTGCCTTGGGCAATAGCGGTAGGTGCCCGCATGCATTTCGATTCCAAGCAGTTGGTGCTTACACAAACAGGAGGAAAGCCTCAGACAGTTCCGTTGCGGATTTCAACCCGAACAGTAAAAGGGAATCATCCTAATCCTGCTCGGATAGGGATGATTCAAGGTCCCGATCACGAGGAATTTTCATCCCCAGGTAATTGTAGCGGATTCGAAGAACAGGAGTGCGAAGAAGAGATGCCTAGTGAGAGTGAGTGGAGACATTTGGTCGAACTTTTCGAGCACGAAACCCCCGAGGAATTTCGGATGGTTCCCAGAACCGCCCGAACCTTCCACTTGAGTCCGGAAGAGAACGCGCTCGCGCCTATGGAAACCCAGGTCAGTCCCTCGACCTTTCTCGGAGAACCCATCTTGCAAATATCTGACCTAGCAGACAATTTGGAACCCCCTCGCACCTTGTACGAGGGAACACTTTCCCTCCGAGCACGCTATCAACAGGCGAAACAATACCTGGATGTTTATGTTTCCCCTCCAAGGTCACTACTTACGACAGGAGCGACCATCGCTCTAATTAAACAAGAAGTCGAAGCTCCTGTCGACGATGTGCCCGATCTGATGCAGAAAATGGTGGATCTAACAGGACTAACCGTGGAAGAAACCTCGACCGATTCAGAAACTGACGCTGAAGTTAAAGAGACCGAGATGATTAGCCCGGCTGAATCCCAGATGATCACGATTGTATTTTCTGTCCGCACTAGTAGCTCTATTTTCTCTAGCGTTTATGACCGACGGAATCGGCTTGCTGAATGGATCGATATGCCCCTTGAGATACCCAATCGACCGATTGTCACTCTGCCCGGTCACGTCCCCCTGGAATTTCGAAATCGCTGATTAACGTCTTGAATGGGTACGTAGAGGTATTAAGTGTGCGCGATAACGATATTGGGTTGTCTAACTTGATCGAGCATGCGATCCTTATGGGGGATCATCCACCAATTAGCTGCGTTCCTTATCGATACTCGCCAGCACAACGGGCGACCGCGTTTTAACAAATTGAGGAATTCGAAGTTAATGGATGGATCGAACCCGCTATAGGACCTTGGTCGTTTCCTGTGGTAATCATGCCCAAAAAGGCCGGAGGGATTCGCATATGCATTGATTATCGAAAACTAAACGATATCGCGATCAAAGATGTGTACCCCCTTCCCCGGATTGATAAGCTGTTGGATGCGATTGGGAGTGCTCGATTTTTCAGTAAGTTTCATGTTCGACATGGGTTTCATCATCTTCTTGTTCGAGAGGAGGATCGTCCGAAAATGGCATTTGTGTTGTTCGAAGGTACTTGGCAATGGGTTGGATGTCCAATGGGCATCTGCAATGCTCCCGCAACCTTTCAGCGAGCCGTGAACATGGCGTTTCAGAACTTTGTGCGGAAGACACGTCTAGCGCAAAGTATCATCAATTATTGCGTGATTGTGTACATGGACGATATTCTGGTGTATTCCAGTTCCTACGAGGGGCACGTGCAGCACATCGAATGGACGCTGCATGCATTGAGGGATGCCGGTTTCAAGGTGGCGTTGGAGAAATGCCAGTTCTTTCTCACCACCATTTCTTTATTGGGACACGTGGTGACAGACCTGGGGCTCGGACCGGAACCACAAAAGGTGGCAGCAATGAGAAACGCGCCTGTGCCTTCTACTATCATATACGTTCGCGCTTTCCTGGGCCTGGCCTCGTACTACCGAAGGTTTATCAAGGGCTTAGCGGCTATTGCGGGTCCCCTCACGAATTTGTTGAAAAAGGAGCAGCCGTTGATCTGGACACTAGAGTGTGATCAAGCGTTCTCGAAACTCAAGGCAGCCCTTATTTCGGCTCCGGTCCTTATAAGACCGGATCCTGCGAAGCCTTTTGTCCTCATCACGGACTGGCAGCCAGACGCAATCTCAGTGATCCGGGCCCCGGTGGGACCAGGCAGACGCGAATGCGTTGTGGAATACGCGTCTAAGTCAGTGCCTGCTTGCAAGTGCAATTACGCCGCCCCGACAGGAGAATGCTATGCGGCTCTGTGGGGGATCAGTCACTTCCGAGCCTATCTGTATAGGCAAAAGTTCACGCTAGTGACCGATCATGAGCCACTATTAGCCCTGAAGAAATCTAAGGATTACTCGGGCATGATCGGGAGATCGGCAACTGTGCTACAGAGCATGGACTTTGACATTCGTCATCGAAAGCACGAGAGGCACGAGAACGCTGACGGGTTGACACGACAGCACCGACCCGAGAAGCTCCTCAAGAGCAAGGAGGTGATTCCATGGAACGAGTCGAAGGATGAGAATGGACCACGGTACGAACAAGTGGAAATTTTGTCGAAGGAGTGAGTGACACTGGGCGTTTGCTCTACCCGCCCTGCGACCCTGCTCTCTCTCTCCCTCTCTCTCCTCCCCTCTCATCATGCCTACCCCAACTGTCTGTGCGACCCCTTCTTCCCCTGCTAATTCCGACCCTCTCGCTTCGTCGGCCTTCTTCGCCACCCTTCCCGATAAATTCTGCTATTTTTGCACGTGTATTACACAATTATATGGGGTGAATTGTCATCCTTTTGAGACCGGATTCGTTGAGTGGGTGAACTGTGCCACGTGTGTCAATCGAGCACACGGTGCATGCGTTCGATACCGAACGAATAATAAGGAATGGAAGTGCCCTCTGTGTAGAACGGACAAACTCCCTACTGAGGCGCGATTCGAGGCTGCCCGAACGGACGGCCCGGAATATGACGAGAAATACCGACGAGCGGAAGTCAAGACGGATAAAATTATATTAGCTAAATTAGCTGGATTACCATTGGATCATCTCACTAAGCACGACCGACGTCGGGCTACCGAGAGATCCCGGGATTATCGATGGATCAACGGTCACCTGGAAAAGCGTAAAAATGACGGATCAGGTTTGTGGTTGACAGTTCCCCATCCATTCCAGAGATATGATTGGACCCGATCTGCTCACGAAGAGCAGGCCGCTCACTTTGCGATACGTGTCACGGAGGCAACTATAGATCAGAATCGATGGTTCTGGTCTAATACACAGGACCAAGTCAGATACGTAAACGTCAACTGTCTGGTCGGTGCCGCCGACCGTGCCCCAATACGGGGACCAAACACGATAGTACCAACGGAAGTAGAGCGCCCTTTCCAGCGAGTCTGTATGGACACAACAGATATCGACGTGCCACCTGGCCCAAACCGTTGCGAATATTCCATTCTTTTAGTTTTAATAGACCATTTTTCCAAATACATCGAGGTCTACCCTTTCAAGACCCGTAAGGCCGCAGAGATAGCCACGTACATCGATCGGTTCCTCTATACCCACCTAGATATGGAAGAGATTCTAACCGATAACCGGTCCGAATTCAAAGGCGAGGTATAGGAATTACTCGCACGAGGAGGCATTACGCTTCGACACACGGCACCCCACGTTTCCCAGTCGAACGGATTGGCCGAAAATGCCAATTGCATGATTAAGACTGCCCTCCGTAGAAATCTAGCAGCGCGTGACACACGTCCTTGGCCCGAGATCGTATACCAAATCGTAGGAATACACCGGGCCACCCCTCACGAATCCACGGGGTTCACCCCCTTTCAGTTTCGGACCAATAGCCTCTCATGTGTCGATTACCGGGGTAACTCGGAAATTGCCAAAGTCGGGGGTAGAGACACGCGTGCCGCCCTTAAGGTCAAGGCCAAAAGGTACGCCGATTTAATGGAAAGGGTCGTCCCAAAGCTAGCCCGAAAGAGACAGAAAATGACTAATCTAGCCCACAGAAGTAAAGTCCGTAGCTACGAGGCCCGAAATGGAAACGCTGGTCCCCAACATCAATATAAATGAGGGGACCTGGTGCAGGTACGTAAATGTGCACGRGACCGGAAACTCGCTCCCAAATTCTCTGGTTGTTTTCGCTTTGTCGAGCTCGGACCCAACGGTGCCAATACGGTGCGCATTGCTCCCGAAGCTAGCGTCAGCCATAGCTCTGTCCCTATCGTCCGCCATATCTCTTACATCCGTCTCCTCCCTCCTTCTGATCTCCCTTCGTCCCCCTCGTCTGCTGAAGACGAGGACGACGACGATCTAGCCCCCGCCTCGTTCTCTCCCTCTTGTTCCCATCCCTCGTCCTCTTCCCCGTCCTCGCCATGAGTTTCATCACGGAGCAAGCTCTTGCCAATCATCTGTTGCAGCCACGTGGCTACATCTCTGAGATCCGGCAAGTTCGTCATCCGCGGCTCAGTCCTTATCTGCGAAGATTGGCGCAGTTCTTCTGCACTGCCGCTGCGTTTAGATTCGCCGGGAGTCAGCAGGCGGTAGTATTGGCGGAGGTGGTGGCATTTCACCGACGGGCGGCTCCAGGGACAAGCCACGTCACCACGGTCGCTGCCTTCAGCGGAGACATCAGTGCGGTCAGCCCACTTCGGCATACCGCGATCTTGACTTTTTACGAGAGTGGACGCAGCAGTTGTCAGCTGAGTGGCATCACGGTCTTGCACGTCCGGGGAACAATCTAGTCTCGACGTTCGGGAATGACTTTGATGGAATTCGCACCTCTCCGCGCCAGCCGGCAGTCGTGCTCCCCACCCTCATCCCCGTCCAACGCCCCCAATGAACCGCGCCGCTTCTCTCGCTCCTCTCTCCACCTTTGGTCTTCCCTCTCTCTTCCCTACCTTCTGGCAATCCGATCTCCATCTACCTTCTGGCAATCCGATCTCCATCCTCGCCTTTCTTTCCTGCTCGAGCCTCTTGCCATCCCGCTCCTTGATCCCGGGCATTGGCAGGTGTGGCACAGAACCTTTGTCGATCTATCTGTGTGCTTAGCCCGAGTGCAGGTGACGTGGACGCAGACCAGCGAGCATCGAGTCCCTGGAGCTGTTGATCCTAGAGGCTTGGAGAACTGAGGTGGAAGGTGATCTTCTCGGTTTCCTCTTCGGATCGGTGCGGCCAGACCATCGCCAGCCAATTACTCAAGAACTCGTCGTCCCGCTCGCGCAACTGGCTGACGATCTTTCTCTCGACATCGTTTCGCAAAGTGATGACAGTCCGGCTCCGCATGTCATCACGCGGACATTAACGCAGTATCTTCAGTGGACTGCATGCTTAGAAGAACCCGGGACTGAAAGCACTCTGCCATCGCGACAGGAGTACTTGAAGCCGTATGGAATCATCGATTGTGCCATCTATCCGAAGGAAGATCCTGAGGGGGCGCTTGAAGAGGAAGAAGAAGCACCGAAGAAGGGGGCGACGCCAACGAGGAAACGTCGGAGAAAGGAAGTTATAGTGAGTACAACGAAGGGGAGCAAAGTGAAGAAGAGGAGGAAGTCGGATCGGAGTGGGAGGCCTTGCCGAAAGAAGCGGCGCACACAGGCACAGAGGCGGAAGATCCAGAGGCGGAAGATCCAGAGGCGGCACGTAGAAGGGAAGAGATCGCCGCCGGGAAAAGCCAGCTGGAGTTCGCCAGTGAGGCGAACCTGCGCATCGACGACGACCCGACCAGGGATCCAAAGCCCCCCGAGTCCGAAGATGGCGGCCCAGCAACTGCGGCTCCAAGCACATCGCGACGGAGATGGAGCCGATCCCTATCCCCTTCCTCCGCCCCAGCCCGTCCCCCAGTTCGTCCACGTACCGATGCGGGGGATCGGCCTTCGTCCCCGGTCATTATCCCGCCGTCCCCTTGATTGCCTCACCCTCTGTCAGATCTCTACCCCCGTCACCTTCCCTTGCAACCCCTTTCCTCCCAATACCTTCCGTCACTTTTACTCCACCCGTCTCGCTGTTATCGTCCATTCCCACCCTTCCCTTCAATGCGCAAACCCCACGTTCTGTTTGCACGTCCTTTTGTTCAGTGCCGCGTGGGAGCAGAGCAACGCAGTAGAAGTCTACTGCATAATCACATGAACCATCCCCGCATGTCGCCATCACGAGTTGTTTCGCGCGGCACTCTTCCGCACTTTCTCCACCCTTTACCCTAACTACCTCGCCTCCCTCCCTCACAGCGGCGATCGGTTCCCCCGCTTTCACCGGATCATCCGCTACGAGGAACTTCCCATCACAGAGGGAGGGATGAACCGCTTCTTACCCCCACTTCCCCCCAACCCTCCCCGACGACACCCCTCCATGTATAATGTATATTTTCCCATTCCCACACGACGCTGATACCCGACACGTGTCACGACGGTCGCCCATCCCACCCTCTTCTTACCTATGACCTTTCTGAGCGTGGCGATCGGCTGGAGTAATCGACACGCGCCCCCCCCATGAGCAACACAAATCAGCAGTTTTCGCGAAGATCACGCCATTGACGATGACGTCAACGTATGCTCTGATTCGATGGATTATGCTGGACTTGGGGTGCAGAGCACACGAAGACCTGATGGACCATGATGGTGCCACCTGGACGATCTCCGAAGTTCGAAGGACAAAGGGTTGCATATGACAGGACTGCAGGAAATGGGATCCGAAACAGCACGAGCCGGCATGCTTCACAGAGATCTTGCCTTAGATGTTGTCGCCGACTCATCGTGCTAATCTGAGCTCCTACTTCTTCCTGCTTCTTTGTCTCCTCCTACTTCCTTGGTTCGAGGTTTTTTATGCAATCAGGAGATCGCATAATTTTGAACCCCCTGTGCATCACATATGTGACGAACCACTTCCCGACCCCGCGCTATCTTTCGTACCCCTTGACTCAATACCCTCTTTTTTGTATCATACTGACCCCACAAAACCCCCGTCGCTTTTTCTTGATTTCAAGTGCCTTGTTTAGGCCCCCATTTTTNTTGACTCAATACCCTCTTTTTTGTATCATACTGACCCCACAAAACCCCCGTCGCTTTTTCTTGATTTCAAGTGCCTTGTTTAGGCCCCCATTTTTTGAAAATTCTATTGATTCTTGGAATTATACATTTTGTAATTCGGAAAATGCATGGGAAATTACGCGCGCCTTAGCGAGCGCACAGGGAATCGGGCTCGACAGTTAGGAATTCCGGATTAAGCGGAACCCGACGTGTCTTTTTCCTTGCATGTATGTTCTCCGTCACGACGAAGAAAACTCTAGGAATTTTGTAAGAATACGGATAGGCATAGGACTTTCTTTTTCCGTGTCGACTTGTCGCGCGCGGATATGGTGATTTCAATTTTTGAATTGGTCTAGGACATAGGCACGCTGTAACTATTCTGGTGCCTTATTTTCTCTTGGTGTCGGTGCCACGCATGCGAGCTTCCTCCTCCTTATTTCCCACGCGCTCTCTTCTCTTTCCCTTCTCCCTCTCTTCTTCTCCTATCACAACTGTTTTTCCCTCTCTCCCTCTACTCTTTGCGCGCGTGTTTTTCCCTTGTTGATCATCTGAATCTTGGACCCGTCTCGCGCTGCTTTTCGCGCCTCGTTCCTTCTCGCTCTTCAACCTTAGCTCACAAAGCCCGGTTGATCCTTCGATTACCCTTGCTCACCAATCAGACGCGTTGAGCAAAAGGATCTTCCTATTGCGCGACGAATCTGATTGGTCGAATATCGGGATCCGAAGGATCAACATGGCCCCCCTTGAGCACCCCTCGCTGAACCTTCTCCTCTTACACTTCGATTTCCCCTCTGTCTTCTCCCCCATCTATCTCCTTTCTCGCAACTATAAATTCCGCAAGCACGCCTGCAAATCTCTCTTACGTTTTCCACTCCGCGAAGCAGTGGCTAGGTGATGCGTTTGGTGCGAGTCGAAAAGTCCTGTCGGGCTGACTGTACACTGACCGGCTGCGCACTTGATCGCCACGACGGACTGTGGGATCCAGGTGAGCCGAGTCGAGTCTTCGTCAGCGGGGTGACGATCGCAGCTACGGAAGTAAGCACGCGACGGCCGTGATTGTCGGTGCAGATATGAGGATCAATAATTAGAGTTGAGTGGATGATTGGCCTGGGGTCATATTGGAATTTCACGTCGAATGCGCCTTCATGGTTGAGGATCATTTTTTGGTGTGAGTTCATGGCTGCGAAGCCGAATGTTCCCTTGTTGAATTTCGTTGCCTCCTGTATCGACATCTCTCGTCTATCTCTCTCATCTCTCTTTCTCTGATTGAATGACGATGGTTCTTAGTTTGTCTCTCCAGTAAATCAAAGTGAACTCTTGTGATTTTCCTGCGGAGAAGAACTTCTGCCGGAACTCTTCCATTAGTTTTCGAGGTAATCCCCAAATGCGAGGAAGCTCAATCATCTTGTATTGTGAACAGTGGATGCATGTGTACTATCCCTCGATTTGTTTTGGATGCACCATTGTCATTTTCGCACCTTCCTCAGTAAATGTATGTATAGAAAATGTGTGTATTTTTGCGTTGATTAGACCCAGCGTTCGATGGGATTTTGTTCGAGAATGCGAGAGTGCTTAGATTTGTCGTTCTGAATGCACTGCGCACGCCATCTGCCTTATGCTGGACGTTGTGGACGACATCTGCAGAGAGTCCATGAGGCAGCCTCGAAAAAGTCGGGCGCCTCGGGTTTTGTCCAATCTGGTCTGCTGAAACAAGGTCGCGGATTGATCTCCCGAAACCGCAGCTCGATTATTGCATGGTTCTCCCGTGTCAAAGGGAGGAAAAATATTAGTCAGCTCTTTTTCGATTGTGCTTTTTGATGACGTATCGGGGGTTTTTGCAAACTCCTTTTGCTTGACGGATATGTGGACTAACGACCTCTCCTCGATCGGGCGCCAGACTTCCATATCTCCCTCGTCTTTGCGCCCCTTCCCTTACAACGAGGAAAGGAAACGTGTATGCGAGTGGCGTACGGGAAGTTGTCGCATGGATCGGCGAACAATATTACTTCCCTCCCAAAAATCGTTGTTCCCGGTTCGTGGATGCGCGCTTTGTCATTATTGAAACGCACTTTCCACCCTACTAAGTACTGTTGCCATTTAACGAGCTGATTGTCATTTTGTGGACGACAGTGGCGCCCCATTGGCCTCGAACCTTGTGCACTGAGTGTCAGCGTTTCGATTGCTACGAATCAAAGGGCTTCCACTACCGGATACAGAGTGAAGACGAGCACAAGGAAAGAGCCACGCGACTGAGACCATCCACGTCGGACTCGGAACTGACCAATGAGTGACGTCGGGACTTGATACGGAAACGGGACACGCGGTGGGAAGCTCGACAATACTTTTTGGATTGAATTTGGATTTTTTCCATTTCACGCCGTGCCCGTGCGCGCGTTCCGCGACGCGCGAAAGCAACCGACTCACTTCATCGGGCCAACACGAGGGATTTTGGTTCTGTCTGTGTCCCCACACTCAATTTTCCAAAAATCTTTGGCACACCCCATCTTCCTGATTTTTTGGGCCTTCTTTCCGCGCTCTTAGCACTCCGATCGGAAGACAGCACAGGGCGTGGGGTTTGCGCGTCACAGGGGAGGGGGGAGGGAAGAATTGGGGGGGGGGGGGGAATGGGTCTTCATTCCTCCGAGGGGGAGTACCTTTCCTCAAAGGTTAAAGAAGCTTGCATTAGTGCCTGTGTACAATTTGGAGGCTCCCAGGCTCTCAAAGACAAGTGGTCGGCTTAGAGTGTTCCCACGATGGAATTGTCTAGAGATAAGGAGAGATGGTTGGCTGTCTAGAGGTCGTGGTGCTCTTCCTCAGGGTCCTTTCCTTTCTTGAATGTCAGTGTTTCCCTACTTCATCTTCTTGCCAGAGATAACCAACCAGACTGGTGCCCCCAGAGTAGATGGGTTTTATGTAGGACCCGCTCGACCGACGCCTCTCGACGTCATCACCACCTCCTCCCCTAGCAGGTTAGGCTCTCCGACTGCCTCGTCTGCCTCGTCTGCAACCGCCCCCTCTCTGGCCCCACCCTCGCGGCCCTCCTCCTCATCGAGGGCGTCCTGAATGTCATCCCTCTCTTCGTCGTCCATCCGCTGTCTCTGGCCACCCGCGAGCGCTCTCGTGTCCCGTATGCCCTCGTCTACCATCCACCTCTGCACCCGCTGAGCAGTGGACGGCACAAATGTGTAGTCCGTGCTGTTCCAGAGTTCCGCGAGAACTCTCATCCCCCCAGCCTTGCAGAACTTCGACTGCGTGAAATGACGCGCGGCCTTCGACGCCCCCCCCTGAAACAGGTGGCCGCATAAGTTGCAACGCAACTTTCGGTCCCCGTGCATCTTGGACTGGTCCCCGACCTACTGGCCCGTGGTGACGAAGTTCCAAACAATGTTCCCTCGCCTCAACTTCGCCATCTCGTTCTCAGACAGCGGGTTGAACTTGGCACCCCCAGACCCCCCCGCACCGCTGCTCCCTGCACCCCCCGTCATCGCCCCCCCACCAGGATCCAACAAGTCGTGGCCTCAATCGTGGATGTCGTCTGACCGTGCCGCACCATCGATGTAGCGTCCCCTCGACGTTGCTGCACCCAGACGTCCCCGCCGCTCCTGCCGCCACGTCCCCTCGATGTCGCGCTAGCCCATGGTCCACTAGCATCTCGGTCGGCCGCCCACCAGCGCGTCTTGGAGGCGGGCAGCCCTGCCTGGCCGCCTCGGTCGTGATCGGCCTCGATCGGCCCTGTTCGGCCTCGTTCGGCCGTGTTCGGCCGTGCCCGCCCACGGCCGGGCACTAAAATGGCCGCGCGCTGGAAAAAGACGCTCTCTCTCTCTCTCTCTCTCTCTCTCTCTCTCTCTCTCTCTCTCTCTCTC